CATTTTTGTGGGTTCGTGGAAATATTTATGCCTAAGTAGGAGAAGTATTCTTTAGCCCAAATAAAGTCATACCAAAGCAATTTCTGCTATCATCTTATTGTTCATGAATAAAGGTAGAGCAGTGGGTTTTGAAGTATTCAACTTATAGATCGAGAATTGACTATAATTTTCAATGACCTTCATTAATTCCTTGACCGAATTTACAGGGTCCTCTATAGTAATAACTATGTCATCCGCATATAGTTTCAATTTAATCTCTACATTGTTTTTAAACCCTTTTATTTTGTTGTTATTTCTAATGTCTATGGCTAATAATTCAATTGTCAAATCTTAGAGAAGCGGTGACAGAGGGCATCCTTGCCTAGTACCGTTTGTGTGGATAAACCAATATGTAGAGAAATCACAGTTTATTTTGCCTGTTGCATTTGAATATAAGGCCATAATAGCATTAAAAAAATCTACCTGTAAAACCAAAGAATTTTAGAGTATTTGACAAAGTCCCAGCTGACCCTGTCAAAGGCTTTCTCTGCGTCCAGTGACGGGGTCAGCAAAAGAGAGCCTCTTTCACGAGCAATCTCATACATGTTTAATAATGTACGAATATGGCTGGATGATGATCTAGCAGGCATATATCCCGTTTGGTCTACATGTATCAGGTCGGATATGACTGTTTTCATCCTATTCGCTAGCACTGAGGCGTATAGCTTTATATCTTCATTAAGAAGCGGTCTATAACTCCTAACATCTTCAGGATTTTTATCAGGTTTTAGAATAGTTATAATATTGCCTCTCAGGAGATCCATGGGTAGTAAACCTTTATCAGCAAATTCTTTAAAGGAAATCGTTAAGTGTGGCATGATCTCTTCTTTAAAAGTTTTGTAAAAAAGTTCCGTTAGGCCATCTGGACCCGGGACCTTTTTAGGTGTCAACTTGTCGATTGCTTTATAAATTCCATTTCTTGAAAAGGGCATGTTTAGTTTTCTGATTTGAGGATTAGATAATTTTCTTGAAATTTTATTTTGAAAATATATTTCCATATGAACTGTTGGTGAATGATTTATGGAGTTATACAGGGAGTGCAGAATTATTAGGCAAATGAGTATTTTGACCACATCATCCTCTTTATGCATGTTGTCTTACTTCAAGCTGTATAGGCTCAAAAGCCTACTACCAATTAAGCATATTAGGTGATGTGCATCTCTGTAATGAGAAGGGATGTGGTCTAATGACATCAACACCCTATATCAGGTGTGCATAATTATTAGGCAACTTCCTTTCCTTTGGCAAAATGGGTCAAAAGAAGGACTTGACAGGCTCAGAAAAGTCAAAAATAGTGAGATATCTTGCAGAGGGATGCAGCACTCTTAAAATTCCAAAGCTTCTGAAGCGTGATCATCGAACAATCAAGCGTTTCATTCAAAATAGTCAACAGGGTCGCAAGAAGCGTGTGGAAAAACCAAGGAGCAAAATAACTGCCCATGAACTGAGAAAAGTCAAGCGTGCAGCTGCCACGATGCCACTTGCCACCAGTTTGGCCATATTTCAGAGCTGCAACATCACTGGAGTGCCCAAAAGCACAAGGTGTGCAATACTCAGAGACATGGCCAAGGTAAGAAAGGCTGAAAGACGACCACCACTGAACAAGACACACAAGCTGAAATGTCAAGACTGGGCCAAGAAATATCTCAAGACTGATTTTTCTAAGGTTTTATGGACTGATGAAATGAGAGTGAGTCTTGATGGGCCAGATGGATGGGCCCGTGGCTGGATTGGTAAAGGGCAGAGAGCTCCAGTCCGACTCAGACGCCAGCAAGGTGGAGGTGGAGTACTGGTTTGGGCTGGTATCATCAAAGATGAGCTTGTGGGGCCTTTTGGGTTGAGGATGGAGTCAAGCTCAACTCCCAGTCCTACTGCCAGTTCCTGGAAGACACCTTCTTCAAGCAGTGGTACAGGAAGAAGTCTGCATCCTTCAAGAAAAACATGATTTTCATGCAGGACAATGCTCCATCACACGCGTCCAAGTACTCCACAGCGTGGCTGGCAAGAAAGGGTATAAAAGAAGAAAATCTAATGACATGGCCTCCTTGTTCACTTGATCTGAACCCCATTGAGAACCTGTGGTCCATCATCAAATGTGAGATTTACAAGGAGGGAAAACAGTACACCTCTCTGAACAGTGTCTGGGAGGCTGTGGTTGCTGCTGCACGCAATGTTGATGGTGAACAGATCAAAACACTGACAGAATCCATGGATGGCAGGCTTTTGAGTGTCCTTGCAAAGAAAGGTGGCTATATTGGTCACTGATTTGTTTTTGTTTTGTTTTTGAATGTCAGAAATGTATATTTGTGAATGTTGAGATGTTATATTGGTTTCACTGGTAATAATAAATAATTGAAATGGGTATATATTTGTTTTTGTTAAGTTGCCTAATAATTATGCACAGTAATAGTCACCTGCACACACAGATATCCCCCTAACATAGCTAAAACTAAAAACAAACTAAAAACTACTTCCAAAAATATTCAGCTTTGATATTAATGAGTTTTTTGGGTTCATTGAGAACATGGTTGTTGTCAGGGCCGGACTGGGAAAAAAATTCGGCCCGGGCATTTTTTTATCACAGCGGCCCACTAAGAAGGGGGCGGGGCAGCGAGGGTGTGTTTTGTCATCACTCATGACAAACACGCCCCCTCTCAAAGTGAGCATGTTGGTTCAATGCTCTTCCAGGGCTCTAGCATGAGAAAAAAGCCCTGTATTTGTTCTGCACAGTGCAAGCAAATTTAATAACATGCTTGCACTGTGTTTCCTTGCAACTTGTCTCTGGTGTCTCTATAAATGGATACCAGGAGACAAAAGGGCCAGGAAAGAGTATTGTGTAATAAGGTCGGTTTTAGTCGTGTTGTGTTTGTGGTGTAATGTAATGCATATGTGGCTAGGGGCTTTAGAGAATGTGTGTTTAGGGGATGTAGCAAGTGTGTGTATACAGGCTATAGTGTGTGTGTGTAGGTGATGTAGTGTTTGTAGAGAGTGTGTGTTCAGGGAATGTAGTATGTGTTTGCTTATGAGGAATCTAGTGTGCGTATAGGGGATCCAGAGTGTGTGTGTGTTTGAAGGACCCAGAATATGTATAGGAGATCTAGTGAGCGTGCGTATATAATGGATTCAGAGTGTATATAGGGATCTAGTGTGTGTATGTGTGTAGATGATCCAGAGTTGGGTAGAGGATCTAGTGTGTGTCTGGAATGAAATGTGTTTAGGGGTGCTGTGTGTGTGTGTGTGTGTGTGTGAGGAGTGCTGTGTGTATATTTATATGTGTATATATATTATATAAATATGTTTGGAAGTATTGTGTATGTGTGTGATGCAGTGTATCGGTGGGTTGTGTGAGTATGTGTGAGGTGCAGTATGTGTGTGTGATGGATCGTGTGTGAGGGTGCTGTATGTGTGGGTGCTGTATGTGATTGATTTGTGTGAGGGTGCTGTGTGTGTGGGTGCTGTGTATGATGTGTGTGAGAGTGTTGTGAGTGCGAGTGCTGAGTGTTATGTGTTTGAGAGTGATGTGTGAGAGTGTTGTGTGTGATAGTGCTGTGTATGTATGTGAGAGTGCTGTGTGAGAGTGCCGTGTGTGTTGTGTGTGAGAGTGCTGTGTTTGTTGTGTGTGAGAGTGCTGTGTGTGTTATGTGTGAGAGTGCAGAGTGTGATGTGTGTGAGAGTGCAGAGTGTGATGTGTGTGAGTGCTGTGTATGATGTGTGTGAGAGTGCAGAGTGTGATGTGTGTGAGAGTGCTGTATATGATGTGTGTGAGAGTGCAGAGTGTGAGAGTGCTGTGTATGATGTGTGTGAGAGTTCTGTGTATGATGTGTGTGAGACTAATGTGTATGATGTGTGTGAGAGTGCAGAGTGTGATGTGTGAGAGTGCAGAGTGTGATGTGTGTGAGAGTGCAGAGTGTGATGTGTGAGAGTGCTGTGTATGATGTGTGTGAGAGTGCTGTGTATGTGTGTGAGAGTGCAGAGTGTGATGTGTGAGAGTGCTGTGTATGATGTGTGTGAGAGTGCAGAGTGTGATGTGTGAGAGTGCTGTGTATAAATGTGTGTGTGGGGGGGGGTAAATAAACAAATAAAAAACTATGGGGGGGTAAATAAACAAATTTAAAAAAAAACTAAATAGGCATTAAATCCCCCCCTCCCTCTTACCTTTAGCCTGGGAGGGGGGGACTGGCACGTGGTAGCTGGGAGGAGGGGGACCGGCACGGTGACATCATCCCTGGTGGTCCAGTGGTGAGTGAACTCTAGCCTGAGGGCTAGAGTTCACTCTCGCGAGATTGGCGCGTTGCCATGGCAACGCGCCGGATCTCGCGAGAGGAACCGGGCGGAGCTACAAGATAGAGCTCCGCCGGGTCCTCTCCCTCTCTCCCCAGCCGCAGGTCTGTTTAAATGGGCCGGTGGGGGAGATCTTTGATCTCCCCACCGGCCCTCCATGGCAAATAGCGGCAGGGGAGACCTCCCCTGCCGGCCTCGGCCCCACGGCCACCGCGGCCCACCGGGCATTTGCCCGGTGTGCCCGATAGCCAGTCCGGGCCTGGTTGTTGTTCAATAATAAAATTAATCCTCAAAAATACAACTTGCCTAATAATTCTGCACTCCCTGTAAAGTTCTTTATAGTATTTCTCAAATGCTCCAGCAATTTTGTCTGTGGATAGACAAGTTTGCCCATCTTGAACAATTATAGATATAATTTTAGATTTATTTAAGTTTCTTAATTTAGATGATAATGTGTCTGCCTTGTTTCCTTTATAGTACCAACAGCCTCTCTTTTTGTCCAAGATTTTATTTGTTTTTTTTTAATTAGTTGATCATTAATTTGACTTTTTATGTTTTCGATTCATTTAGATATGTTTATAGAGGGATTAGATTTATTAATTCTGGATTGTTTTTCCAATTCTATCAGTCTGCAAGATTTCTTTCTTTTAGAGTTTTGTTCTGTGCTTTTAGTTTGATAAAAGGGCTCCTTATAATGCATTTAAAAGCTGACCATGTATTTATAGATGAAGAGAGAGAGATTTTCTTTGAAGTAAAGAGAGATTAAAGAGATTAAAGTTTCTTTTCCGGGGAGAATCTAATAGGAATTCTTTTAGTTTCCATTCAAGTCTTTGCCTATTATATTGATCTTTCAAATCCATATAGGTCATGTTGTGGTCAGACCAAGGAATTTCAGTGATTTAAATTTTCTTAACTTTTCTTCTAGCGGTGTCAAAGTCGGTCATAATATATTCATTTCTCGAATAGGACAAATGAGTCTTGTATAATGTATAATCCCTTGTATCCGGATGGTGAATTCGCTATGTATCTAATAGGGCTTTACTATGGATCAAGGAGCGGAACCGAGTTGCTTGTGTTATGGAATCTTTGGCATTTGCTCTATCATAGTGTGACTGTCTATCCATATTTACATTCATGACACAATTAAAATCGCCTGCCCATATTACCGAACCTTGTTTTATCTTATCTAATCTGTCCCAGAAATTTGATATAAACTTCATTGCCATAGAATTTGGTGCATATATATTGGCTAAAGTGTAAGAAATTTGATTTATAATGCATACTATTATTATGTATCTCCCTTCTTTATCATATTCTACCTGTTTGATATTTAAATACAAAGTCTTAGAGAGAAAAAAAGCAACTCCTCTCTTTTTTTTGTCAGTCATCAAGGACTGAATAATTATAGGAAACTTTTGAGTTAAAAGTAAATTTATCTGCCTATCTCCAGTGGGTTTCTGAATGGCACATATATCAATTCTCTGCCTTTTCAGTGTCTGGATCAAAACTGATCTCAAACTGGGAATTGAGTCCCTGCACGTTTAGTGTAGCAAACTTAACCATTATCGAATATGTGGGGCCACTCTCTTTTTCCCAGAGCATACATTTAACTGGACAACATTAAGAAAGAAAAAACGTTGAATCAAAAAAGAAGAAAATAAAAATACATTAGAAAATTAAAAACCTCAATTTGACATGTATAGGTAGAACAACATTCCCTAGAGATAATCTCCAGATTTAGGTACTTAAAAAGTACCATCCCTGTCGAACCCACACCCATTTTGGACAAGGCGATGTGCCTATTCCAAGTACACATCTAACAAAAAAGAAAACAAAAAACAAGAGCCAAGTGGAGGCTGAATTATGAGCCTGTTGAAAGATAGATACAAACAAACTCATAAACAATTTTAAAAAGGGTTAAACCCTTTTTCTTATCGTGAAGCCCATGTGAATAAAGTACCGGTTAATTATATACGTATTATTGCTGTTTTGTGCTGAGTTTAGTGCAAATATTATGTGAAAGATCTGATATAAAAAGTGACTTTCTTTCATTTTATCTTTCCACCATTTTTTCTCTCTCTTTCCTTTTCCCTTCTTCCTTTCTTTTTTCCCTATTTAGAAACTTCAAACTTTTTACAATTTCCCTTTTCTCTATCACTCCCTTTCTCATTTGTGACTATTATCCTTGATTATCTTTCTAGTGTATTATTTGTTTAAGTGCATACAAAGAAGGTTATTAATTTCAAACTATACTTTACGTTGTATTTAATCCTCTTTAGTTTTCAATCATAGTTTCAAGTGTATACATTTTAGTAGTGTTCTCAACCTCAACCTAGTATTGAAAAACTGTGACATATACCATTTTTAAAACCTAAATTAGTCAATAACACATTATTCTAATATGGGCGTTAAATTTTATATTATTTTAAACCTTTCCTTTCCCCCCTTTGTCGTTTTTCCTTTGCCTTTCATCTGACTTTCTAATCTTTCAGGAATTGTCATGGAAAGCAGAGAAACAAAAAAAAAAAAAACTGTTTCATAATCACAATTGATTACCCCAGGAAAACATAGCATATCATATAGGAGATTTGTTCTAATATGTCCATTAATTATGTTAACCAGTTTGCACTGTCAATCAATTATTTAACAGTATTTCTAAGAAAAAAAAAAAAGAAGTTATTTAGTGCTGCAAAGTAAGTGGTTTATCGAGAGGATTCGGATGAAGTATGAAAATTAAATTTAATGTTCTTTATCTGCCGTGCAATTGTTGGTAATATCTTTTTTATTTCATTTTTTTATACATTGGTTAGAGTAATTTTTCTTCATAAATTTTCTTTACATTTTCTTTAGTTATTACTCCCAGATTTATTTACTTTTAACATACCAAGCCTCAATAGCCAACCAGTAACCAACCTCATGCTGATGATTTGCATTAACAATGAAACAGCTCTCCATGCGGGGTTCACTGGCTTTGCATCTTTTCTTAAGTTGTTTCAAAGTTGTTGTATACAGCAAACAGACTCAAAGGAATCCAGAATTTAAAATGGAATGAGGCAAAAATTTGATTCTTTGTTGAACTAATTTGCATATGCCGACAAAAGAACAGGGATAGAGCCGAATGCTAGGTACACTAAGGGAACGAAGGTAACCCCAAATATAATGTGTAGAGGCAAGAGTAGTGTACCTGGGTAGTCTGGGTTGTAGACTCAGAATTCACCAATAAGTGTCTTAAGTTTACAGCAGGATTATTGCCAGACATAGTACTGAGCTGGTAAAAATGAAAAGACATGAATAATATACCAAACGTTGTAGTATACATACAGTGAATAAAGGATCGGTACTAAAGTGTTACCCTGTTAAAAAATACCCTAATGGTATTAAAACGAATCACCGGATATCGTACCGGTGTCAAATCTACTGATACGGATACTGTATGTACTAGTGTATAAAGTACAAGCTAAAGTATCACTAAATATTGTCCCTGATATTAGCTAGTAATAGAAATCTGTATAGCTTACTGTAAATTGCTAGTGCCTGGATTAGACAAGGTCCCTGCTAGTCCTGGGGTCGCTCTACAGTAAGTGTCAGTTTGCACAGGACTGGTAAGGAGTAATGTGAGTAATGCAGGCTAAGGTATTACCCATAAATGTCACAGTAGCCTGCTTGTATTATAACGCCTGCTCTGAGCTCCTAATACCTGGAGAGGAACCCAAGTCCCTATTATTGCTGAGGATAGTCTTTGCACAGGACTGGTAAGGAGGATGCAGGCGGCTAGTATACGTAATGTAAGTAATGCAGGCTAAGGTGTTTTGGATCAAAGAAAACTTTGATTATTTGTCTATCTACACCTTCCAAATTGATTAATTAATGCGTGCACGCTTTCCCTAGAAGTAATTCACACCGGAGACAAAGTTTCTGATCAGTGAAAAACCCAGGAATGCTTTATTGCCCGGAGTGGGGGCTCCTTCTTAAAGCAAAAATACGTCACAGTTTAAACATACAGTATACATTCACCAATTGGTTAACAGAGAAAGGGGCCTCTTGTTTAAACCCCCCTACAGAATGTAGTGTCATCATTACACACTTTTAGATACACGGAGAAAGGGGGAGTGAGTGGTATCTATCAGTTCTAAACCAATGATCCTCCATTTAGCTATATATGGCATATAGCTGTTAACTGGCACAAAGGGGAGGCTAGCAGGATGTGAGGAATTTACATAGTAAACAGCAGCTGACCACATTGTAAGGGGGGGGAAGGGAACATTTACTCTAGAAGCCAGTTTTAACATAGTGAACAGAGAATAAATAGACATTAGTAAATAGCCATTTTATTTTAATTCATCTGTCCATAACAGTCCCCCCTTAAAATGGCAATTTTTACTAAAACTACTATCTCTCATTCTAATACTGTCCCTATAGAAAAATAACAAAAGGCTATCTTGCACATCTGTCTGAACAGGCCTCGAACACTTCACTGCGCGGGTACCCCATAGCAGCTTGTCCACTACTTCTCCCGCGGCAGACTTCTGCCCGTAGAGACAGACGCTATCCCTAAATGTCCTTAAGAGGAAGTAGCTGTTGATTTAGTGCGGTGGGACTGTAAGGGTGTATGTGGTGTATCACGGTCGATGTCGTCAATCTCTTGGTGAAGGAAGGTCGGGGTGGTCTGGTCGATTGTCTGATCAACTGTCCTTTGTAGGCATTTCTTAAGACAGGGTAACACACAACAAACAAGAAGAGCGAGGATGATTATCGTTATTAAAATGGCAACACCTATTTGGGCCAGAGCACCTTGCCATTCAGACATCCATCCAAACCATCTTTCCCATGGATCTGTGGCCCCAGAATTTCGTTTCAGTTCATTGGACAAACTCTTTAACTTTTCTATTGCCAACGTTACCTTACCATTAGGGCCTGTATTATCTGGAATATAGGTACAGCATGTCATGGTGTCTGGGAGTATTTTACATACTCTCCCTTTTTCTGCCAAAATCATTTCCAAGCTTATTCTATTCTGGAAGGTCATCTGAGAGATAGTTTGTAACCGCCCTATCCCACCATATATCCCATAACAAGTATAGTTCCCGGGCTATATAGTAATGCCTTCGTCTGGGTTAATATTTTTAGTAATGATTGGGTATTAAGTTTCCATGACTCGCATGCTGACCGCTTAGGTTTAAATACAGTGTAGAGACTTAAAACGCACACTTCATATCCGGAGGAAGGTTCAGGGATACTGTACCTGGGTGAGGCCTCGCTCCTCTGCAGACATAGCAGTTAGACTTGTTATGTTTAGTAGCATTGTATTTCATCCATTCAAGTCACAAGTTAGTGTCAGAGAAACCTGTCTCTACAGCCCTCTTATCCTCAAATATGGGATGACTACCATGTCTTTTAAAGTCCTAATGTGTGGTTTGAGGGGATTAACAGTCATGTGCGTGGCACCTACCCATTCAGCTGAGTCATACATGTCCTGTAAGAAAAAGGTCTCCTGTTTATTGTATAAACCTCTTCCCTTCCAATTCAGATTTTATTAGCCGTAATGCTTGGGAGAATAGATTCAAACTTAGTTTCTTACCTTAAAATCATTTGGTACCCCCTTGACACCCCTATGGCATTAATATACATATATATATGTGTGGGTAAAACCACCCTTTATAGGGGTACTCCTTTTTGTCCTGAAGCATGAATGAGGTGTGTCAAGAGTACCTTGGGGATTGTCATGTGTTATGTGTATGGACATAATAACCTAGGCTAGGGCACATTTACTTATTCTTAGAAATCTTGTCTCATGCTACCCTAGTACTGGCAGATTCAGATCATTTAAACATTCAATATTAATATCACCACAAACTCAAGATAAGCAGATGATCTTGAAGAAGCTTTGACTGTGCGTATGGCACCTCAGACGTGAGGGCTGCAGGGTAAGGAGTATGTTTGTTTCTCTTTAGTTTCACGAGGTCCCCTTTTGGGGTATTCAGCTTTTCATCGATGGCAGGTGGTCAGGCATTATTATGGCCATCAAAACACCCACTTGTTGATATTTATTTATTTATTTTCAACAAGTATCTTTGTTCTCTAAGAATGGAGTTTCAAAAAGGGTTGTCAAGATCAACAAATGTTACTTCACATGATGCAGAGGCAGGCTTGATTCTGGAATGATGAACCCACGGGGTGATCTCTGTATCTTTCACGGTGCACTACTCAGCATGTGGTCTTGGTTATCACTTTGGTGGCTGGATAGGCCTCTGGCCATCCTGAAAACATGTCTGCTATAATTAGTGCATATTTGAATCAGCCATTCTTTGGCATTCTGGCGACTTGACTCCTCTGGAAGAGATAATGAGGTTTGGCTAGATGCTTGGGGCTTTCATCCATTCTTCTTGAGTTGCCCTTGGCACAAATGGCACAAGATTTACAGTAACTGTTGGTCAGAGAGGCAATTCCTGATACTTCAGAGTATTTATTGATCAAAAGAGTTCATGAGGGTTCTGGACAGATGCTCCATAGGCCCACTGGACCACTGCTGAGTATATGTTCTTGGGCAAGCAGAACTTGAGATTGTTGAAGTACAGCCTGTCTTTAAGAGTTGCCCCTTTCTGTTTCCAGCTTGTGGTTTGTTTGTTTTTCTTTCTTTCCAGGGTCAGTAGCTTGCTTGTTATTCCTTCGGAGCTTGATGTCTGTAGGTAAGATCTTACATGGTGAATATGGGAGTTTCTTCAGCAGACACTTTTCTGTCCACTTCCCTTAGTGCACTTACAACTTCTTGAACAACTTGGTCAGCCAGAGAGTTGCCACATGCTTCCTCTGAGTTCAGTCTTCCTTCAGAGATCTTGCATGCTGTGATGGGAGCCTATAGCTCAGCTTCTTGTGCAGACATTGTTGAGGTGAGATACTTGGTCCACTGTAGTGACAGCAAATCCGGAACAGAACATAAGAAAAAGGCTAAAAAAAAATAATAGTCAGTGTCTTATCATTTCCCCCCTTGGGAAGTGGCAGAAGAGTGGCCAGGTAAATAGAGTATCATCCCTGCAGGGTGACATTATCCTGCACAGAATTCGTCCATCACAAGGAGAGGTGGGATATTGCATGGAAAGTCTCAGGTAACCGGGGCACCATTCGACACCAGAGCCTTAACCTGTTAGGGAATAGTAAGAGCTTGGACAGGCTTTGGGGCCTGTATAATTCAGGTAAAGGTATTGGGGGAACTAGCTAGGACCCTTGCCTCTTGGTCAGGTTTCACTGTGTGGAACAAAATAAATAATAAGGTGATAGGGGCCTGCAAGTGGGGGAAGGACATCTGCACCTAGCAGATTAATTGGACAGGTGAAAGTAACCACAAAGCAAGGCTTAGTTAACAGGCTACTCCAAAGAGAGCCATCTACACTTATGCAGGAGACAACAATGTTAGGCAGGAATGAGGAGTCAGGCAGGCCTTGCTTGGTACAAATAGATGTCATGTGGCCTGCTATACAAGGCTGCATATAGTTGTTGGGCATGGGCCTTACTATGTACTAAAACTTAAGTTAAAAGAAAATTTGGGACAACCTGAAGTGATGCTTCTCCACAGATGCTAACTCATCGTTGATGACATTGTTAATACAGGTAGCCTGATCAGCCAATTTATCTTAGGCTTAAACAAGTCACACCATGTAGTGGAATGGGTCATTAGGATTCAGGAAATTCTACAGTAAAAGGGCATAGTAAGGATGTACGCGATGTTACTTTAGGAGTAGGCGTGGCTGTGGATAGGGGGAAATCAGCCTTATCCATTCCCATATATTATTCCTTTTGTCTTCAGTATATCCAAACCATGTGTATGTCCAGGCGTTGCAATATACAGTAATCCATTATCAGTCATGATATTAAAATCTCATTCTCATTAATTAAATCAAAGATTTTAAATCAACCTCAGAAGTAACAACATTGTTTTTACCTTCTGTAAAATGATTGGAGTTACTGTATAATTGCATACACCCAATATAACATACATTGCATGTTCCTCACTGCTACATTAGTGTATTTCATTCTGCCATATTTGCAAACTTGATGTACATTTTTATTTTAATTAATTAACCTAATACTTTCTTAAAATACATATAAAACAATGAAAAAACAGTTCAGACTAACATTTCATTAAAACAAACTAACATAGAACTCTATTCTTGGCTGTTCTTAATTCTGGAATCAGCCTGTGTACCTCTGTTGGCAGACATATCCATGCTCATTCCCTAAACTGATCATATCTCTTGAAGTTATCTGATTCTTATAACTTTCTGTGTTACGCTGCATTGCTTGTCTGTCTCCTAATTTCGATTTAGCTAAAATTGCTTTTATTTGTCTGATTATAAGTTTACAAGGAAAGGCTTTAATTGATTTATCTCCACATGTATTTTCTCTGTCAAAATTTTCAATCAACAAATTTAATTTCTCATTTGCTTTTGTTGTGATATCTCGGATAAAATATCTGCAAGATCTTAAATAATGTTGTTTATTGCACCAAAAACAAATAACTTTAGGAGTTATATTCTGCCCTATATTATCAACTGCCCTATATTTAGTTGAATAAATTGGGAGGGGCTCAGCTGTCTGTATCACTCTACACTCTGTCCTAGAAGAAGAAGAAGAAGGAGGGGGACGGAGGGCTGTAACATCTGCACTTCTTTCTCTGCCTAAAGCCACAAGTCGTTTTAACCCCTTCATTCTTGGTTTCCCTCCTTAAGTTATCCAAGAACAAAGCTACTTCTGTCAAAGTGCTTTTTTCTCTAGCTAACACAATTGCAGTTGGATCTAGATCTTGAAATTTTTTCACAAATTCATTAATTAACTGATCTTCAGAAAAATCAGCAACAAGTCTATATGCACTTTCAAATTTTGCAAGAAAACTAAATATATCCTCCCCTTTGTGTGGTTTTAGTTTTTCCAACATTTCAGTGTCTGCAAAATCATTCCCTGTTGTTAATTTTATTAATTGTGTTAATCTGTCTTGCTTATTTCCATATATTATTTCATCATTGTCCTCACATTTTACAGGCGTGGTCAGCCTACATGCCATTTGAGTCGGCAGCCATATTTGAAATAGTCTATTCCTTTGTTCGTCATTTAGGCTGTATTTGTCTAAATTAGACTCAAACATTTCAGCATTAGTAAATGCATCCACTGACATGTCATAAACTGGAATAGATTTCACAATTTTCATTAATTGTTCATGGATTTTCAAATTAAGTTTTGCAGCTCTGTCTTGGAATTTATATTTCTGCAAATCACTCTGTGAGGATACATTTTCAGTATCTGTTAGTTCTGGGATTAGATTCTGTGCCTGTATTTTTCTGGTATTAACACACACTAGTTTAGCTTCATTTGTAAACTGGCAAATAAGATCATTTCTTAATTCAACTCTATCCTCTAATTCACAGACTTTTTCTGACAATGTGCTCTCTGTTACATTGTTACACTGTTCATTTAAATCTGATTTGTCTTCTGTTAACCCATTCAAATCTACTTCTTTTTCTGCTGATTCTAAATTGTCTTTACCTGTATTTCGTTTACAAATCAATGCATTGTAAGTACAGACTAGTTTCATAACATTTCTGATCTTTTGTTTTTTCTTATTAACAAACAATTTCTTGTCAATTTCACTATTGGCAATTTCACATTGTGTGTATAAAGATTGCCACAAAACAGCATCTGAATAGCTGCTATTACATGCAAACTGCAATTTACTTTTCTCTGCGATATCATTTATAAATTCCACAATTCATTTGTTCCAACAAAATCTAACTTTCCTTATTCCAACATGCCAATAACCTCTTGCTTAACAACATATACAAGATTACACAAAGTTCCTAACTAGGTTATTCGTCCAGCAAATATACCTTGTTTCCCTCACATTCCTCACTGAGTTTACAAGCATTTCACCCATTCACCCCACCCCCCTGTAGCCAATACTCATAGCAGTCAGAGCAAGAGAAAGCAACAAAGAAGGAGGGGGGAGGAGGGAGGAAGACTTGCAAGCACAAAGTTTTTTTAACCATGTGATTGCCTAAGCACAGCTCTCCTTAGGACAAAAGATAGAATAGGAGAGTAACGATACAAATTGTATAGATTACAATTAACATATATGGTACCCAACAAGACATACACAGACAAAAGCACAAAATACAGATGTAATTAAATCACAAAGTTCTTAAAATAAATGCCGGCTTATAATAAATCAAATCACACACACAGAAACACTCAAGCACATAAACCGCTCCTATTTAAACTCTTGACCGAGTCTTAATAAAACAAAGGAACCGCCAGGTTTTTTACCAAACGAGGCCAAAACATCACTCACTAGCTTCTTTACCAAAGCTTAGCTAAAATAATTTTTTATTTATTTATTTTTTTAATTATTTTATTTATTTATTTTTAAACTCTTGACCGAGTCTCGCAATAACTTCTTTACCGAAGCTTAGCTAAAATAAATATAGAGCCAGGGGTTTTCCACCAAACCCGAACTTGGCTAAACCTGCAAGTGCTTAACCACACTTGGCAGCATTATATAACAGTATTAAGCAAGTAGTAAAACAGATTCTCAAACAGACACTTTCACACATAAAACTCACACTCAGGACTCAGGCTGTAGATAGACAAGTGACAGGTTCTATATAAAAGGGGACATTCAGGCATATATATATTACCTGTCTGAAGACGTTAAACACCGGAAGCCGAATGTGAAGGCACGGAGAACAAGAGAAATCCAAAGAAAGGAAAATATAGGTAAGTAACTCATTTACCATATGCAGAGGTGATCAGGCTCCGTTTCCAATCTCTGGGAATCCTTTGCTCTCCTGTCTTGGGATCTGACGGCTGCCTTAGTAACGTATCCCTTAAATGCCCGCATTCTCCACCAAATTGTTTTGGATCAAAGAAAACTTTGATTATTTGTCTATCTACACCTTCCAAATTGATTAATGCGTGCACGCTTTCCCTAGAAGTAATTCACACCGGAGACAAAGTTTCTGATCAGTGAAAAACCCAGGAATGCTTTATTGCCCGGAGTGGGGGCTCCTTCTTAAAGCAAAAATACGTCACAGTTTAAACATACAGTATACATTCACCAATTGGTTAACAGAGAAAGGGGCCTCTTGTTTAAACCCCCCTACAGAATGTAGTGTCATCATTACACACTTTTGGATACACGATGGGAGGGGGAGTGAGTGGTATCTATCAGTTCTAAACCAATGATCCTCCATTTAGCTATATATGGCATATAGCTGTTAACTGGCACAAAGGGGAGGCTAGCAGGATGTGAGGAATTTACATAGTAAACAGCAGCTGACCACATTGTAAGGGGGGGGAAGGGAACATTTACTCTAGAAGCCAGTTTTAACATAGTGAACAGAGAATAAATAGACATTAGTAAATAGCCATTTTATTTTAATTCATCTGTCCATAACAAAGGTATTACCCATCAATATCACTATAGCCTGCTTGCATCAAAAATTATAACGCCTGCTCTGAGCTCCTAATGTCTGAAGGGGAAACCAAGTCCCTATTAGTGCTAATAATGGTCTATAAATGGATACCACAGGACTGGTAGCAGTGGCGTACACATGGCACCGGGGCCCCCCCGCGCTTACTCGGCGCGGGTCGGGGCCGCAACACATGGTGGTGGGCACCTGGTCGCAGGGCTGCGACCCCGCGACTGCGGTATGCACACACACTTAAAGGACCACTACAGACACCCAGATCACATCAGCTCAATGAAGTGGTCTGGGTGCCAGGTCCCTCTAGTTTTAACCCTGGAGCTGAAAACATAGCAGATTCTCATTGACAGCTGCTAGAGGAGCTTCCGCGATTCTCACTTTGAAAATCACAGTGAGAAGACACTTAACGTCCATAGGAAAGCATTGAGTAATGCTTTCCTATGGGCGGTTTAAATGCGTGCGCGCCTCTTGCCACGCATGTGCATTTGGAGCTAACAGACATCAAACACACTCAGTAACAAACACACACAGTAACACACTCACTAGCAGACACACACCCAATAACAGACACACTCACTGACACAAACACACACTAAAACACACAAACACACACACCCACCAGCACACTAACACACAGACACTAACACACAAACACACACAAACATTTAAAAAAAAAATGTAATCCCCCCAGCCTCCTTACCTTTTGGAGTGCTGGGGGGATTCCCTGTGGTCCAGTGGTGCTGCTGACCCGGGCGGGCTGGGTGGCTGGCCGGTGCACGAGGGAGCACTCTCCCCTCTGTGCTTCCTCTTCAGCTCCCTCGCGCGCCGCATAGGGATGCCAGAGCCGGAAGATGACGTCACACAGAGAAAATGCAGTGTTTACATTACAGCCTAGTGATAACTTTACTGGCCACTCCCTAGATGGCTGTTAGAGATCCTTCCTAGGTCATGGCTGCCTAAAATGCATCCAAACATTCAGTGTCTCCTCCCTCTGCATGCAGATACTGAACTTCCTCATAGAGATTCATTGATTCAATTCATCTCAATGAGGAGATGCTAATTGGCCAGGGTTGTGTTTGAATTGTGCTAGCTCTGCCCCTGATCTGCCTCATTGTCAGTCTCAGCCAATCCTATGGGGAAGCATTGTGATTGGATCAGGCTACCACCTCTGCTGAT